AGAATAGAATAGAATAGAATAGAATAGAATAGAATAGAATAGAATAGAATTCTTTATTGGCCAAATGTGATTGGACACACAAGGAATTTGTCTTAGTGCAAATGCTTTCATAAAAGAAAAGATACATTTGTCAAGAGTCAAGAATCATAAGGTACAACACTTAATGATAGTCATAGGGTACAATAAGCAATCAAATAATACTAGAAAACAGTCCATATAAATCGTATGTCCAGGATGTGAGGGGTCTGTAAATGTTTTCACAGCTCCCTTTTTGACTCATGCAGTATACAGGTCCTCAATGGAAAGCAGATTGGTAGTAATTGTTTTTTCTGCAGTCCTAATTATCCTTTGAAGTCTGTGTCTGCTCTGTTGGGTTGCAGAACCAAACCATGGTATGTGGGAATGACTTTGGAAGACAGGAGGAAGAATCACAGTTTGGACAATGGTCAGACAAGTTGCAGCTAAGTCCATAGAAGGAATGGAGGCATGGTAAATGTTTTAGAAGGGATACTCCTTAGTTTCTTGGACTGTAAAGGCATGAGATTCTGTTAATGTAACATTACAATACATCTAGAATTAAAACTTCTGCATATGCTTCTTTTCTGCGTTATTTTACAAGGCTGACACCTTGAGCCAATCAGTTCAATCACAGTTCATTAAAGACAATGATGCATAGTGGAGATAAATATCCACAGAGTCATTTTATGAAACTAGATTAGCTATTTCCCTTTTTTATTTTATATTCTGCCTTTCTGTTTTTTAATTTTAATCTCTTCTGCTTACCACTTCTCTCCTTTTTCTATGTTTTCCATGATATTGCTATCTCAAAACATTCTGGGTATATAGAGCCATTTTTAAGACACATTGATTTAAAGATAACACTATAAATAGTCCTTCATGTTTTCAGCAGTGGTGGGATTCAAAATTTTTTACTACTGATTCTGTGGGCGTGGCTTGGTGGGCGTGGTGTGGCTTGGTGGATGTGGCAGGGGAAGGATACTGCAAAATCTCCATTCCCTCCCCACCATACTAACCTGCTTTCCAGCTCCATTCTCCTGTGGAGAGCAACCAAAGAAGACCCAGCCAATCAGCTGGGATTTGGGAGGCAGAGAATAGATGGGGGCGGGGCCAGTCAGAGGTGGTATTTACCATTCTCCGAACTACTCAAAATTTCCACTACCGGTTCTCCAGAACTGGTCAGAACCTGCTGAATACCACCTCTGGTTTTCAGTAACAAACATCTCAAAGATGATGCAATCCGTATTTTTTTCTTTAAAAAAAAATGCCTCTCAATCCATCTCTAAATGCTTGCTGAAGTGAATAGCACTCTTTTCATAAACTTAAAAAGAAGTAAGTTCAAAAGTATTTTCAGCTGACAGCTCAAGGGCATGAAACTGTTAGAACTGTTTATATTGTTTTCAGGAGAAGAACTGAAATTTAAAGATGAGGAAATTGTCCAGAGCACAAAGTCATTTTGGAAATTTAAATAAGGCACTTTGTTAGCTTCTTGCAAAGTATGGGGGTAGCTGAAGAAAAAAAATGCAGTTCATCATGGACAGTTTTCTTTACAAGTATTTCCAAACCTAAAGAGATTTTATGTATGCATGTTCATACAGAGACACTGAATTTTCTTTTTTTCATATCAAGCAAAGCTTCTTTACTGGGATACTACTGTGCAATGATGCATAGTAGTAACCTAACCTAACCTAACCTAACCTGATTTGTAGTGATATCCATTACTGCAAATACATAATTACAAGAAGCCTATTGTTCAAATAAGATAGCTGGAACTAGTAGTAAAGGAACTAACTTCTAGAATCCAAGACAGGAATGAAGATGGTGCCAAGTTCAGGAGCAGGAACATGGACATTGATTGTTCAGCGTACTGTTTCTCCTATCCTTTACAGATTAATGTGCATTGCAGTTAGCTGTTTTCTTTATTTATTTTTTTACTATAAGCATACTCATAAATTACAATATTATATGAAATACTCCCAGAAAGCACTTTTGATAATATTGCTGAACAGAATGATGGTTTGTCTTTTATTGTGATGTAGCCTGCTGCCCTAAAGTAAAAGTCACGATAGTGCTAATCTGCATAAGAAAAGATGCCCACTCTTTGCATGTACAATTTTTCAACAATTAACACATTTCTTTTTTTATCACTAGCTTTCAGCAGGAAAGGAAGGAAGGAAAATGGGAGAAGAAACGTTGCTCTGATTTCTATAATACTGATGATACCAATTAACCTAAGTTTTTAAATTCAATGTAGAGAAAAGTAAAGTCCTACACTTAGGCAAGAAAAACCAAAAGTACACATATAGACTGGGTGAAACCAGGCTCAATAGCAGTAACTGTGAGAGGGATTTTGGAGTCTTAGTGGACAACCAGCTAAATATGAGCCAGCAGTGTGCAGCAGTAGCCAAAAAAGCTAATGCAATCCTAAATTGTATTAACAGAGGGATACAATCAAGACCAAGGGAAGTACTAATACCACTCTATAAAGCCTTAGTGAGACCACACCTAGAATACTGCATCCAGTTTTGGTCACCACATTATAAAAAAGATGTTGAGACTCTAGAAAAAGTACAGAGAAGAGCAACCAGGATGATTAGGGGACTGGAGACTAAAACATATGAAGAATGGTTACAGGAACTGGGCTTGGCTAGTCTAGTAAAGAGAAGGACCAGGGGAGACATGATAGTGGTCTTCCAATATTTGAGGGGCTGCCACAGCGAGGAAGGGGTCAAGCTATTTTCTAAAGCTCCTGTAGGCCAGACAAGGAATAACAGATGGAAACTGAACAAGGAGAGATTTAACCTGGAAATAAGGAGAAACTTTCTGACAGTGAGAACAATTAACCAATGGAACAGCTTGCCCTTGGAAGTTGTGGGAGCGCCATCACTTGAGACATCTGTTATCAAATAGAACAGAACTAACAGAGTTGGAAGGGACCTTGGAGGTCTTCTAGTCCAACCCCCATTCAAGCAGGAAGCCCTATACCATTTCAGACAAATTGTTGTCCAATCTCTTCATAAAAACTTCCAGTATTGAAGCGCCCACAACTTTTGGAGGCAAGCCATTCCACTGATTAATTGTTCTCACGGTCAGGAAATTTCTCCTTAGTTCTAGGTTTCTCCTCTATTTGATTAGTTTTCATCCAATGTTTCTTGTTCTGCCTTCAGGTGCTTTGGAGAATAGATTGTCCCCTTCTTCTTTGTGGCAGCCTCTCAAATATTGGAAAACTGCTATTATGTCATTCCTAGCCCTTCTTTTCAATGACTTCTAATGATTTCATTCCTTCAAATGATTTCTAATGTATGAAATGTTAGATATCCTTGCCCCTTTCACACACTTTAGAAAGAATCACACACATATTGAAAAATAGAGAAAGAGAAATTATATATATCAATCAAGTAAGCAAGCTCTTGTTTTCTCCGTATGCACTACATGTAGACAATCCACATAAAAATGGTTTCAAAGACATTCTGTACATTTATTCTGTACATTTCTCAGTGTTTCATACATTTCTTCCTGTACTATTCAAGGTCAAAGCCAAGTGGGAAAAACAGCCTTTTCAAAACTGAGCTCTGTTTCAAAAATGAGTATAGTTTGACAAAATATTTTGTAATTGTAATAATCACAAAATAGCTTAAAGATTGAAGTACAGAAAGCTGCTTGTCTTTGAGTTAAGCCATGGGTCCTTAGAGTTCAATACTATGTATGAGTCTTCTCCAACATGATGCCCTCTGGATGATCATATTAGTACAACAGATGTAATTTAACTCAACTTGATGGCATCCAGAAAGGGAATGTCTTGCCTACTTTGCTGGGCATCCCATTTCCAAAATTTCAAGCAGAATTCTTTCCTTAGCTCTATTTCAAATTATGTTAATTATTAGACTTTCTGTTGGTTTTAGTCAAAACATAAAGTGATGTGGCTGAAACATTCAGGCTGACTAAGACAATTATAGTTACTAAGCACAAGTTCCTTTAACTACTTTAAAATACTTGTATTTTTTTTAAAATCAATATAAAATATTTTTCATCAGGATTTATGGGATGCCCATTCTAAAGACGAAACAACTGGTTTCATGTCAATGTAATTTGCAGAGAATGCAGCTGATGGAACAAAGCACAATGCTTTCATTTTGTACATTGATTTCAAAAGCTGCCCCTGGAACTAATTTGTTCCTGTGACCTTTCAGGCTGATGCTGATTGCCGCAAAAGAGAAATGAAAACTTTGAGCAAATTTAATTGCTTTTTTCTCCGTAACATTTTTAATTTGACTCTGAGAGAAAAAGTTAAAGAAATTGAAAGCAACATGGCAAGTAACATATTAGAAAACATTCATCTTTCTCTAGCCTTTTTTTAACTATTATCCATGTTTTCATGTACCTATTTCTTGTTAATTTTGAACAAAAAAATACGTTCAGGTGCCTGTGCTAAAAATTTAATAGAGGCTACTTCAAAAAGTTTGGGAAACAAGTATGGAAATAATAACTCCCATATGCCACCAAAAGTAACTTTTAAATCAGAGGTTACTCTCTGTCTCTCAAAGAAATTAAGTTGCTGAAAAATATTTATAGGACTTTACATTATTGAGAGAGCAATTAAGAGAAGAGAAGTACAACAGGACATTCTAAATATCACTCTTATATCAAGGAAGATCCAACACATGACCAGCGAAGTTAGCTTGGCCCCCTTACTATTTTACTTGAGAGGTCATCAGTGTCAAATCTCATTTTCTGTTTTAGATAGGGTGCCAAGCCTTGCAATCTGAGCTTCACATATCACATAAATTGGACTGCACAGTTCTTACTGTGGACCAAGCAGTGAAATTCTTTATTCCTTTCCCCATTTGCTGATCTCAATATCCCCCATTTGTTATTTAAGCAGACACACACAAAATCCTCTTATGGCTTTCACCAGGAATTTCTAAACTGACCTTGAATTGTCATCTCCTATATTGGGAATATTTTCCAGGACATTTGTTCGTTCAGATTCTGTGTGCGGTGGTGTCAAATTAAGCACGCTGCATTTACAAACTGCATGTCAAATGATACGTCATTTAAAGGAATGTGCCAGAGAAATAATTGGTGATATTTTTTGTTGTCTATGTTTGCTTTTCTTCTCTTTAACATTAAGAAGTGTGAGAAGCTAGGTTTTCTACTGAGCTGTCAAGAGTTTAGGGCTGAAAATTGCAACCAAGCAAAATTTAACTTATTCTAATCTCCAGGATCTGATTATATTATTATGGCTTTTTAAAAAATGGATAAAATAAAATTCATAAAGCAATGGTCTCTATAGAAGGCTAATTTGAAAAGATATAGAGCATGCCAGCCAAAAATAAGTCAGTATACCAAGCACCTTTCCTCTAGTAATAAAACATCCATAATAATATTTCAGTCTCTCTTGTTAATGGAAGATATTTACCCTGACATTTTTAAATTGCCTACTCAACAGATTGTCTATAGAAACATTATTGCTATTTGCATACAACAAATTTGACATTCAAGTATTTAACTTATTTGTTTCAGGATCACTATTTAGAATAGAAACACGATGGTATTCACCAGTTTTCTGCACAGTTATGCAAATGATTGAATATGATCTCTTTCAAGTCTTCAATTAGCATCATTTTGACTTCATTTTTAAAATAACCCTGCTATTTGAAATGTCACAGCAATGGTAAATAAAAAGTTGCAAACACAACTGACCTTGAAGCTGAAGTGACACAAGTCCTGTATGCCAGCAGCCAGGAAGTGTAAAGGAAACTCAAGTTTGTGTGGCAGCAAAATTACAGATCACATGAGAAGCAAAGTGAAAGATGAAGAATGGGGAGGGACAACCGAGGAGAAAGATATGATTAACCATTCAGGTATTTGAAAAACATTTGACCATAGAGCTGACACTATGTCCTTGAAAGCACAATGATTTGTTGGGCATCTTTTGTGCTCTTATTATTAAATAATTTCATCTAGCTTTCTGTAATGGTTTTTGTACTTAAAATAAAATATCAAGCTGACACTCCTAAATCCCAAACAGTGTCAATCTTTAATCTCTATATTAGTACATTCAGATGAACGTGATCCTTTTTGAAGTATTGGCCTTTTACTACTGGGACAATGCTTCAGAAGATTTCCACATATATATGGTAGGCTCTGTTGCCTGCTCATCTCCCCCCCCCCATATCTCTCACTTCTTATTCCCACAGTTAGTGGCTTGTGCATGATAATGTGAATTGTATCAGCACATTAACAGGCTTCTCATGCTCAGATTAATCAGACTGCATATTTGAGCAGCATCTCCAAGGTTGGCTAGCATTGTAGTGTTTTGTTTTGTTTTGTTTTTTTCTGGAATCTTCTAACCAAGTATCAGAACAATTTGCCTGAAGAGATTTTGCATACATTTTACTGCTTTGTTCTAAGATACCTTTGAAGAATTTCCCTACTTATAAGAACCTCTAGTGGGATAACTCAATGTTAGATCAGCAGTCTGGTAATATCAGGGTGGAAGGCTACAGGAACTGATGAACTAGCCTGTTGAGGTAATTCCCCGTTAGGAGAATGAGCGCATACAGGGAGACGTATTTTGAGAGTAGTGTTTGAATGATACTGTACAGTAAATGTAGGGTTTTACTTTCAATAAAGGTTTAAGCAAAGTTCAAAATAGGCAGTCCAAAGTCATTCACAGGTTAAATCAGTCAGTTTTCAATCCAGGGATAATTCAATAACAAAGTCCAGTGTCAAAAAAACAGTTCAGTAACAGACTTACATTAAATCCAGGAATATCAGTCAATTAGGAAAAATGGAGGAACGGCAATACTTTCCAACAGAAGGAAACAGAGACTGACTCACACTCTCTTCTGAGACTAAGACTAAAACAACCCAGGTTTCTGGCTCCATCTTATGGCCGTTTGAAAAACCACACCCAACTCCAGTTTTGCATTTTCTTAAAAATATAGTACTAAAATGCCTATCCTGGCTTATATATTTCTAACCCAAATACCTGTTAGGTGACTTATATTACTAACATAGCCACAGAAATATGATGACCAATAGAAGTATTAGGTTCTAACCCAATCTATGTTAGCAATTCAACACAATGGAAGAAAGTGCTATGTGACCTGATGGTGGTTTGTATCATGAGGGTGTTTTCTCTTTAACTTTTAATATCTTTACATTTTTATTCTGTTTAACTTTGTCCTTGTTTATGTTTTATATTGTGAGATGTTCATTCTATTTACAATACTGTTGGAAGAAATACCCTTCTGGGTTCAGTTCCAAGTGGGGAAGAAAGGCACTGGAAATATGGATGCTGTTTGGAAAGATGGTTTAATGGTGGACAAGACCACATGGCTTGGAGCTCTAAAGTGAAAAGAACAATCACATGCTTTAAGATGAAGGAAAAGAAGCAAGGGCTGATATGTTGAGTGTGCCTGGGTTTTATAACCTCTGTTGGGCTTTGAATTTGAGCTTGTATTCTGATTGGTTGTCAGACTCCCATGGGGCCATGCAGGGGCAACTCTGTAGGATGTCCTGAGTCCCAGGCTTGGTTGAGCCTTGCTGGATGATGATGTAATGAAAGGGCTTTGGGCAATTTGTATTATAGCTCTACCTGGATATCTTTGTTATGTAAAATATTCTGGCCCAGGCCTTAATGGCCTACCCATTAACAAGGTTGGGGTGAGTGTCTGCTTCTGAGGTGAGTTTCTGCTTCTGAGTTCCTACTCGTTTTAGGGGAAATATTCTGCCTTTTTAATATTTCCTAGGATATTTCATTTTTCTAGGAGCGGGGTGGGTGATAACTTCCTACAATAAAAAAAAGGGAGGGCCGTGGTGGCACAGTGATTACAATGCAGTACTGCAGGCTACTTCTGCTGGCTTCCGGCTGCCTGCAATTTAGCAGATCAAGTCTCACCAGGCTCAAGGTTGACTCAGCCTTCTATCCTTCCAAGGTGGGTAAAATGAGGACCCAGACTGTTGGGGGAAATATGCTGACTCTGTAAACCTCTTGGAGCAGGGATCGCCAACCTTTTGGACCTCAGGGACCACCAAACTCATAATGTTAAATCCTAGGGACCACTAAACAGTTCTGTGGGTGTGGCCTAATTGTGGGTGTGGCTTGGTGGTCATGTGACTGGCTGGGCATGGCTTATATGTAAATATTATAAATATTTATATAAATATTGAATTTTTATATAAAAAAGAGCAACTTTTACCCCAAATCAGGCAAAGCAGATTGAGTTGCTCACAGAATTACAGATTCATTCAGAGATCTATCTATCTGCCATCAGCTAGCTCAGTCTGTCACATAAAATTTGCTTTCAAGCAAACTCATAAAATTTGCTAGCAAGCAAACTCACAAAATTAACTCACAACACACCATGTATGTAAATATTGAATTTTTTATAAAAAAAAAGAGCAACTTTTACCCCAAATCAGGCAAGGCAGGCAGATTGAGTTGCTCACAGAATCACAGATTCATTCAGAGATCTATCTGCCATCAGCTAGCTCAGTCTGTCACATAAAATTTGCTTGCAAGCAAACTCATAAAATTAACTCACAACACACTATGTATGTTAATATTGAATTTTTTTATTAAAAAAAGAGCAACTTTTACCTCAAATCAGGCAAAGCAGGCAGGCAGATTGAGTTCCTCACAGAATCATTCAATGATCTATCTAACTGCCATCAGCTAGCTCAGTCTGTCACATAAAATTTGCTTGCCGTGAGTCTGCACTGAATAATACAAACTTCAGTCCTAAGGGAGGTTCGGCTGTACTTAAAAGCAGAGCCAAAGATCTAAAGACTAGCTAGAAAGCAAGAAATCCAACCATTTCTTGCTTCCTAGCTAATTTAAATCTCCCGGCACAGCAGAATAGATGATGGTCAGAAAAAGGAAAAAGAGCAATTTAGCAGGCAAGTTTGCTGGGTAAGGAGGAGTGGGCGGGGTGGGTTCCCGTGGGCCATGTGGGCGGTGCAGCCTTGTGTTTTTGCACAGCCTGGATTAATTGCTTTGTGGGGGTGCTCTGGGGTGAGATTTCTCTGCGGCCCAGCAAAATTTTCTCGAGGCCCACCGTGGCCCACTGGTTGGCAACTGCTGTCTTAGCGGAGGCTGTAAAGCACTGTTAGGCAGTATGTAAGTCTAAGTGCTATTATCAGCGTTCCAAGTAACACACCCAACAGAGTCAAAACTCCAAGGCAGGCACATTCCTCAAAGTATAGATTTATTAGGCATGTCATATTGGCACATCTGGGGAAAGCTGATTCTAAACCCTCCTCAGGTTTCTCCCTTTGGTAAAAGTAGAATTTTCTTTCCCCTGCCCATGCAGCTCATCACATGGTCCAATCAGGCCACAGTCTAAGGGTTGCTTGGTCGCAGATCCCACCTCCATGCACCTGGTGGGAAAGTTCTCAGTTCTCAGAAGAAAGATTTTTATTATGGATACAATCCTCTAGCTATCACTTCCTTCCCCACCTCCTGTTCCCACATCTTGACTCGCTTCACTGTGGCAGACTTGAAAGTACCAGGGTGGAAGGGAAAAATGGTTCCAGGGCTGACAGCTATTGCTACATGCCCAGAGACAGTTAGGTGAAATAGGTGGGATAGAAATAAATAAGTATGAGGACAATCTGCATTTTAATACCAAAGAAAAGGAAACTTAACAGGGTGTTCAAAGTATCATACAATATTCTTAATTTCATATGCTATCAAAATAATAATTAGGATCATTCAATACAACTTATCCTAACTGAATAATTAGGATCATTCAATACAAATATAAAAGGGCTAAATAATACAAGATATTCTTGCTGATGCACACTGGATAATTTAAAAAGTAAACTATAACAAAAAGAATTCAGTACATATTTCATTGATAATAAAAATAGTTTGACTCTATTGATCATTTCAAGCCATGAATGTACTTAAAAATGAATCCCAGAATATCTCATTGATTTCATGCAAAACCTTCATATAGCTCAGGAAACCACATTATGGACATGATATGGTGAAACAGACTGGCTCCAAGGTGGCAAAGGAATCGGATAAGACTGTCTATTATCTTCTTGTTTATTAAACATTTATGCTGAATATATACTAAGGGAAACTGAATTGAAAGAAGACCAAGTTGGTTTTCAAATTGGAAGGGAAAAAAATAATGACGTGCTATGCTGTTGACATTATTCTGATAGCCAAAAATGCAAAGGATCTGCAAGTCCTAATATTAACAATCATAGAGCACAGTGAAAAATGGGATTAAAATTAAAAAGCTGATACAGGTAGAAAATACCTTTGGGCAGCCAAGAAAATGAACAAATGGATCATCAATCAATTCAATCTAGAGTTGGAACACAAATGACCAGGCTCAAAGGACCAATCTCAGATGATCATATTTCAGATACCTTATTTAATGACTTAACTCTCTGGAGAAGACTGTAGTACTGGAAAAAGTGGAAGGAAAGAGAAGAGAAAGACCAGCAGTAAGGTGGATCGTTATAGGTCCAGGATGGGCAGTTTGTCATGAAGAAAATCTGTGTGGTCACCAAGAGCCAATATCAACTTGACAATATATAATTGATCAATCACTCTGATGTCTGTGATAGTGTTTAAGTTCTTTCAGCTGCTTGTCTTTGTGTTCAATGTCTTAAAATGGCAATCAATATATTGTACATCCCTGTGTATAGCAGTTTCTGTGTACATTTGAAAAATAACTTATCCAGAAAATAAAAAATTCAGAAGAATAAAAATTATGTCATCTAATCTAGACTTATGTGCACATTGGA